TCTTTCGAGGTGCCTTCCAGCTCCTAATATTGTGTGATTCTGTATTCTTAAAGTATTTCCTAAAACATCATTTAAACTGGATTCTGGAATACTTTCCCTTAGCTTTGGAGAATCTAGGAACTTTCTCAGCAATTGAAATGTTTCGCTTCCATTCACTTGAATGGTACTAACAGGTGTCACTGATACTGTAAAAAATAAGATATGTAAGTTTTCTCCATTCCTACTGGTAATTCCTCCTAAAGGTTATAATTTATTCTTGAGCTTTCATTATGCCTTCTCAAAATGTTTTTGTGTTAGACACATCAGAATCTCTGGGCTCTGAACTTAAGAAAACCTTAGGGAAAGTGGAGGGGTTAAGGAGAATGGAGACCCAAGGGTGAGAACTTCCTGCAGCTCAAGGAGCGTAAGTGGGAAGTGTGAATTCCTGAATGGCTAGAGCTTACCTCTTCCAGTGGTTTCTCCAAGCCATGAATTCATCTGTGGCATTGCCATGATAATTGTAAGGTCACAGGTAAATGTGAAGTGTTTGAAAGATGAAAAGTAATTGTAGGGGAAGTAGGAGGAAAGGCAGAAAGTAGGGAAGTGCTTCTGTTTATCTGTTTATTCATTGGAAGAAGAAATGAAGAATGATGTTTGTTTTAAACATACATCAGAACCCTTAGCTGTTGTGCTGTCATTGCCTGTAAAAATATGTGCAATTCTACAGTCCTGTTAAAATAGAAAGAGGAATGTCCTTGCATATGTGCTGTGGGAGATTATTAAGATTCCCTGTTTCCTCAGGGATGGGAATAAAATTGATAAGCTCTACCTGAGACTAATGCAGTCCCAAATTGAGTTAGTCTTTTTGCAGTGATGATGACAAACTCCTTTTGTGAGCTTGTTTTTAGAGGGTTTTTTTGATAAACAAGAGTCTTCCCCATTGAATATCCTTACTAATGATTAAAACACAGAAGTCACTTAGGGTTGTACTTTCCATAACAAAACAATTCAGCTGTGCAGCTGAAAGCCTTCAGACAGAAAGGATAAATGCTTAGCAGTCTCTAAACCAGTGATCCCAGCATTTCAGAAAGGATGATTAATCACATCTGAAGCGATGGTAATGGATGAAAGGCTTACACGCTTTGGAGAGTTCTTAGGACTGTTCTTGGTGAGTCTGCTGCCCAGGTTTTCAGAGATGCTTCTTCCATACAAAGAAGCTGGTAAGAATCCTGGTTATGCAGCATTAGACCGGGGAGCTTGTTTATCATTATAATAATTGTGTCTTTTCTGTTTCTACTCTTGCCCACAGGATCAGGCAGCTAAAGATAAAGCAATGCAGAGTATGGCTACAATGTCATCTGCCCAGATTATCTCTGCAACTGCCTTCCATAGTAAAATGGCCTTGCCTGGTCTTCCACGACCAGCCTATCCTGCTGTTTCTGGGGTGAGTGAATCAGTGTCTCGGTGGAGGTGGGCTGAAGACACTTGAGTATTTGAAAGGGTGTTGTAACCTGCTCAGGAAAATCCTGAGAACAACAGAAAGAATGGGCCAAAAGGTGTTGTCTTTGTAGAATAAATCTGTCATATGTCTTCAACAGTTTGGGTCTGATTCTTTGCTCACATTGATGTAAAGCAATAGAGTTTCACTAAGTGCTTTTTAAAAAATGACACAGTTGAGAAAACAATCAGATCCTTTGGGTTTTCAGCTGTCTGAAGTATTTTTAGGTGTATCACTTCCTTAGTCCAGGAACTTGTTGAATTAAAACTGTTTGGGCCATCCTGATCCTTTCTTAGGTTTATAATTCCCAAGCTTATCCCGAGTGCTTAGATCGCAAGTTGATTTTTTTTCTATAAAAGCCTTAATAGAGGAGGCATGTCAGCATCCCCTAACTTTGAGTTGGGCCTAGTGAGCTTTTACCGAGTGTTGATTTCTGCCAAAATACTTCTGTGGAGGCCTCTTAGGGAGAATAGTCGCTCCAAGAGAATAAGCATCATTAAAGCTTTGGAGATGGAGGCATAAGGTGCATGCATAATATTTACTGTTAAAGCACACTATTGTGACAGTTGCTCGCATGTAACTAGTAGTAGTGTGTAGGGAGAAAATGAAGACCAGTCAGCACCTCCACAGGGATGAAACCAGGAAAGCAGAAAGAAGAGATACAACTCAGTCACATCTTTAAAAGTCTGTGAGCTTGCAGTTTCTTTCCCCAGAAAGGAGCAAGCCTTGCTTTTCATCTGTGTCTTAAGAGTAGTAACTTTTGCCTGTATGTTGTTCTCTTGCAGTTTTGGCAAGGACCTTTGCCAGGCCAAGCTGGATCTTCCCAAGAGTGAGTATTCCTTCATGTGAGCCTCCAAAGCAGGTGCTTCTGTTGCTTCCTTTGTGCTGTCTGAGGGACACCATTAGCTATTACAAGATTTATGAAATGCTAAGATAATGTAGTCTTTGCTCTCAGATTCTCTGACCATGTATCTGAGACTTGAGGCCCATGGTTGAAGACACACTGAGAGTCACAAGAGAGTCTTAAATAGATAAACCTCAATGTCTTCATAAGGTACCTTCAACACCCCTTTAATGAGTCCCACGATTCCAGCAGCCTAATATGGGTTATTTTTGGGAGCTGCTGAATCCAACAGCCTGATAGAGGCAAGGCTGCTGCAACTCCACGCTGCCAAGTTCAACCAGATACATACACATGTACAAAATTATCTTTCAGTCAAGCTCCAGACTCCACAATATTTCTGTCATTTGGCCTGAACCTCTTGGTCCCTCTGAAAGCATCCTTACCCCTGGAGACACACACAGCTGGCTCCCAAACCATCTACTTGCTGGCTAGTCTGACTTGATAATCACTAGTGCTCACACCTTCACTTGCTGCTGGCACTCCAGTAACAACCACACACAGAGCTGAGAGCTCCTTGTGCAAGAAAACAATCAGAATTTAGTGAGAAGATAGACTGCACTGCCAAGGTGCAGGGCATGGACAAACACCTGTACTGACCTTCTTACATGTGACTGGCACCTTTTATTGCCATATTCTCCCTATAATAAATTCATCCCCATAAGTGCTCTTCCCTGGTGTTCCATAACATGTCCCATACCGTCTAGACAACAGCCCTCAGGTGACTGGTTTGCAAGCCTCACTTGTTGGCTCACTGGGTTGGTTTCACACCTGGAGAATGGGGCTGATGGCTCTCCTGGAAAGGGCTGGGGCAGGGCCTCTGCTCCACTGGGGCTCCTCTGCCCCAGTGTAGAGATGAACCTTTGATGGGCTGATGATTCACCAGTGATGGCCATGGATGTAGTTGTCAGACTATTACTCAGGTTGTTCCATCTGCCACTGTTCCTCTGTGCTCCGTTGTTTGTATGGAGACACACACCTTTTAATCACATAATCTAATGGGAGCAATTGAAGCCAACTTAAGGACAAGCAGCTGAAAAGGAGCACGTTCTTCACTCAAGCCATGTGTTCCTGCTCTCTTGTGCTGCTATTGCTAATGTTTGTGGAGCAGATCAAGGATGAGAAACTATTAAAATATCTTGTGGGTAAAAGTGGCTAGTAAAAGAGTGGAAGCCATCCTAGGAGAAATAAAAAGTAGATTTTTATGCCTTTACCTTGAAAACAAATGGAGGAAGCATAAACGTGAGAGGTTCTTTTAGAAGCTTGAAGTATCTGCCACTCCAGATGTCAGATGATGTCTCTGTCACTGAAATTTGGAATAGAAAAACCTCTTAACGTCAATGTAGCATTAAGAAACAGGTATTCTTTATTTGATGTCAAGTATGAGGGGCATTATTTATTCCACCCAAGCTCACATACCTACTGGCACTTTTCTTGGCATATTTATACACAAAAGTTTCAGGATTGCATAATCTGAGTTACAATGATTGATAGCAATTTAAATTTAATTATAATACATTTAAATATGTGCAGAATCATTCTCGGATCAAACTGCGCTTGCATACAAGGGGTCCTTTGGTGGTGTATGGTGGTCCCTTGTGGTTCTGAAGAGGCACTCTTACTGTCCTTTCCATGAACTCTGAATCATTCTCCTATATATGATTTTTCCTGGGCCCATCAGCTTCCTTATCTTGGTCTCAGCCAGTGTTTTGCTAGTTTATCTGTAGTCCTTCAGAATGTACTAGGATGTATCAGTCATAGTTTAAAAAGTAGTGTCCCTTAGTGAGTTCTTGTTTGAAACCCCTTACAACATCTCCAGGTCCTGATTTTTCTTATGGTGGTGCTTAAATGGAACTGAGCTGTCTTGAAAGCTAGGTTCAGTTGTGGGTGTTGAGCTTCTCTGAATCTGGACCTAAAAGCCTGAGAAGATGTGCAGCCCAGATGTGTATCCCAGATGTGTATCCACTTGCAGAAATTTAAATCTATCTGTGGTTGAAAGGAGAGAATAAAGGAATGAGCACAAGTGTATTAACAGGCTGATAAGAATCTCTGAATAACAAGGCTGCAGGGAGAGCCTGCCGAACACCTGCAGGGAAATCGGCCCCTTACTGTTTTTTGAGTCTTTCACCATGACCTTTTTTTGCTCACAAAGAAAGATAATTTCCCAAAAGCACTTATTTCCCTCAGAAGTACTTGATCTAAACTGTGTGAAGGGTTGGTGGAGAGTCTTGGTTTGGTTTGGGTTTTTTTTTTTGTTTTGTTAACCATCTCTCTTTCTGTACTTCTGTAGCGTGAAACCTTTTTCTCAACAGCCTTATGCTGTACAGCCTCCGCTGCCATTACCAGGTAGGTAAGGAAATGGAGTTCCTTCCTTTGAAATTCTAGTCTAACTTCAAAAATAGCAAGCACTTTAGAAAGACTAAAAATTGATTTTTAAAAAAATATTTTTACGTATTGAACATTTTAGTGAGCACAAAATTAATTTTTATATAATTTCCCTTATCTGTTCCTATCCTTTTACTGAGAGAGCTGAAGCTTTTAAATTTTGTTTTCTTTTTATAAACATTTTTTCCTGTTTTAGGTTGGATTTTTTTGGGTTTCTTTTCCTCCTGGCTCAGCAGAAAATAAAAGTTTACATATCTGTACTGTTCTTCCACTATGCTGCATATACTAGAGCACTGTTTTCCATCATAATGTGATTGCCTTTCCAATTTCTCATTAGGTGGAACAACAAATGTCTTTTCCTTCTCAGTTTTCCCATTTTGAGAGGTTAATGATCGTGTTAATGGTGATGCTTCTTTCTGATGGGCTCAATCTCAGTCCTCTTAAAATTACAGAATATATTTTTTGTGGTGTCAAAAATGGGTAGATTGTATTTTATGTCATTACCAACCCTGCCAGTGCTGTCTTAGCAGTGGGTAACTGCAAGGCATTTAGAGCACAGGTAGAGTTGAGGACCTTGTGAGTGCTATTTTTGTATGATGACTGAAGTAATAAGAAAATGTCAGCTTTAAGTCAGCTCTAGTGGAAAGCTATTACCAACTTTTCTCTTTCTAAGTTTTGTTATATAAATTCTGTGTGTTTAGGGTTTGAGTCTCCTACTGGCCTCTTGCCTTCCCAATCAGCACCAGCTTGGCAAGGACGAAGGGTTGCTAGCTCCAAACTTTGGATGTTAGAATTCTCTGCATTCTTGGAACAACAGCAAGACCAAGACACAGTAAGATACACACCTGACTTCCACCCCTCATTAATTTTTGGTCTTCAGGTAGCTCCTGTTCATCATGAACATATTATACTACTATATGTGTATGGAAACACTTGCTTCATTGCTCTACTGAGAGCAGAAAGCCATCTTTGGGAAACACAAGCTATCCTTCTCTTAGAGGATAGAATTGCTTGTAGTGATATAGGTGTCTCTGTGCCATGTGCTTCTGGCCTCCCTTTCCAGGGTCATGGATGTTCACATACCAGAGTTCAAGGCACTGAGGTCATAAGACAGTGGTATAGCCCCTGCCGGGCTATTCTAGCTGTCTCGTTCAGCCTTGGAGGATAAACCCAGAATCAGATGATGGTAAGATCACATGAAGCCACGTATTTCTCTGGTGTGCTGGGAACTTAAATCTGTGGGCTGTTGGGCTGAATTTGCATCAGTATGTTTCTGTGGTGCCACCTATAAAATGGAAGTGGTAAGATTTCCCTGTCTCACTAAACCTTGTGATACTGCACCTTGAGACGTTCCTTGGTGATGGGCCACTTATATTTCCTCTGTCTGAGGTAGAAGAGTTCAGAAAAAATGACAGTATTTGGCTGGTACCTTGCTGTGGGATTTCAGACTGCTCTTCATAGGACAGGAGCATTGATGTTTGACTGAGTGACCTGTGACGGGTAACACTCTGTATCTCAGGTTATTTCAGATTTTTTAGCAGCAGCATGAGGCAATAGTTTAGGAGTGAATATAGGAAAAAACCCAACAATGATGTTTCAGAAAAAGCAGGAAGCATGGCTGTATTGTTAGGAAAGAAATAACAGCATGAGCAGAGATATTTCTGCTAATACTTCTGCTCTTTTAGAAAGTGCTATCAAATCTTCATTGAGTTCCAGTAGTCTTCTGTGAAGAACCATGGACGTTCAGTAGGTACTCAATGGTACTGAATGATTTCCTAATTCCATGTTTTTTCCTCTTCTTGCAGTATAACAAACACCTGTTTGTGCACATTGGGCAGTCAAGCCCTAGCTACAATGACCCCTACCTCGAGGCGGTGGATATCCGGCAGATTTATGACAAGTTCCCTGAGAAAAAAGGGGGCCTGAAGGAGCTCTTTGAAAGGGGGCCAGCTAATGCCTTCTTCCTTGTCAAATTCTGGGTAAGGAAAGGACCCTTTCAAGGGAACTCATTTGCTATGAAGTTCTCACTTTAAAAGCAGTGGCCTCACTATGTATTAGAAGGTTCCCACCTCCCAACAAATTTTCCCTGGGCAGACATCCTAATACAGCCACAACTGTCACTAGAGATGTTTCCTTAAGTTGCTGATGGTGACTTGGCCCTTTAAAAATTTTATTTATGTATAAGAGAAGAATTCAGAGGAAATAATTCTCTGTGTACATCTACGTTTTCAGTGCTGAGTAACTTCTCAGTTGAAGGCAACATTTTTCCATCTCTTCTCTTGTCTCATTAGGTGCTTTTTGTGTTATCCAAGTACTAATAGTTTACAGATGCGTATTTACTGCAGGCACAAGAACAGACAAAAGATAAGAGAGACATAATGAAATTGGATTATGCTGATAATACATTACTGAAATGACTTCTGGTAAGTTGGCAGAAATCAGCCTGGCAAAAGCCTACTCACTCAATTTGGATTTTTGTGAGTTAGCTGAAATTGGCAAAAACTGTGCCATTGAGCTTCAGTGGACAAGCAAAATAGTTTTGGTGATCGATATTATCATAGGTATTACAAGATTAAAAATAATAGCAGCTTGGGGCAGTTGCATGCTAGATGGCTAAGGGAATGTGTAATGGGATTTGGAGTCTTTCACGTTGAGTTTACCGCTTATGATTCAACACCAGGTCAGGAGTCAAATGATGAGAAATGAGCTTTCACATCTCATACTCTTCATACGGTCTGGCACTGGAAAGCCTCTTAACTGGTGCTTTCAGGAGAAGGAATAGATAACTTATGTGCCTTGAGATGCAACTTTCCAGCCGTCCCAAGCCTAGCCTGTCCAGAGCTGAGTTGGAGAAGTAAGTTTGGTGCTTAAAGCATTAGTTGCTGGTGATTCTTGGAGACACGTAATTTTAGTACTACTTCAGTGCAACTGAGCTGGGCAGCTTATGGGATTAGCCTCTGTCAAGTACAACAAAGCCTGCTTGGGAAGGCCAAACCAAAAAGTGAAAAACCATTGCTCTGCTGGGTGGAAGAGTAATCCTTGGGAGGGACAGCAGCACCTTGCTGAGAAGGATATCCTTTGACAAAATCTGGGTAGTCATTGCCCTAGTAAGACTGAGAAAGGAAACAGAACTGTGTTGAGCGAAAGAGGATAGCTTCTAAGAAATGGTCCTTGGCAAAGTAGGAGTTGTGAGAGCTGCTTTCTGCTGTGGGGTAGGGATGCCAGGATACTCTTCATATTGAGGTGAAGAGCACTGGCTCCTGGGTGGTATCACTCTGAAGTGCTTTGGAAGTTTCAGGAACCAAAAGGAAGAGGTTAGAGGAAGACATTATGTGGAGAGAATAAAACACTTTGAATTCCTTAAGGAGAGAGAAATCATAATGAAATTATGATCTAGTACAACTGTGATTTTATTTCTCAAACCTCTTAGTATGCTTTTTTGCTTATGAGGTTGGGTTTGCAGACTGTGTTTGTTTTTCAATATCAGAAGAATGCATATGGCCTATGCATCTTGTCAGACCAACCTAAATTAGGCTTTTGAAGGCTTTATGTGGTGGGATGTCATTAAGTTGGACTCTTTCTGTGCCCACATGAGCTGTCTGGTGTTCAGGGGGTATCAACTCACTGAAATTTGGCTTGCATAAAGAGATATGACATAGGATTTGAAACACCTTCACTCCAACGTATACAGGATGTCCCAGGCCTCTGCTTCTGTACACTTATAATGACAGTGATATTTCTGTGCTTGGTTTAATATTTTGACTTTCTGATTCTTTTTTTTGGTACTTTTGCATTGTTGAATCCTATCTGGAGTTAACATCAGGTTTTATTGGTAGAAACACTACAGGCTGTCACTTAAAAGTCATTCAATCATGTATTTTTTTCTCAGTGTAGACAGTAGGTAGGGGATGAAAACACCATTCCCAGTGCCATATTCTGGGTGTGAAAGGATTGAAGCACTTTTATGATTTGCACTGTTTCACAGGAGTACTTGCATTAATCCTGTTGTAAGATTTCAACTAGCATCTCTAAGACAATATAACTAACAGTTCAAAAAAACCTTTTCCCCCAGAAAATCTGGACTTTTTAAAGGAAAATGCCAAACCATTTTGTTGCAAAACCTTTTATTCAACAAGCCTGAAACAAGTCTTACACTTAAAGCATGGGAGCCATGCCTGTAATGCACTGTGCTTTGTGTGTCACAGAACTTCCCAAGTTTGCTGTATTGCAATAGATGTGTGTAATGCAAAGCACCACCACCCCCCCCCCCCCCCCCGGCGCCCCGTAAACACTTTTCACAGGTAAGCCAATGTGGTTTAAAAAGACGGTTTAACAGAAAAAAAAAAAGAACAAACAACTAGGTTTCAGCTGAGATTTTTATACCCCTTTGCATTTTTACCCCTCTGTAACAGTATACGCTAGGGCGCTTTTTCATTTTGCTGCCTGATTGCTCTGGACAGCCAGCCACACAAATATGTCCAAAGATGTGTTTGATAAAGCAATTACTACACTGTTGAATGTATATCATCATTTTAGGAGAAAAGCAAATTACTGATTACCTTAAAATTGGTTAGTAGAGTTACATATTTAAAGGGGTGTTTTGAGACATAAAACTGATTTTTCAAAGATTCTGAATTGAAGTGGTGGCTGCAGGTGACAAAGACTGAAAAAATCAAGGCATTGGATATGTTGGTTTTGTATACGTGTAGTTTTAGGCTTCATGAACCTGAGGCTGAAACCTGCCATTACTGCAGTAAGCACTGAACATACCAGATGGATCTGTTGTGCACCAGAAGCCTAACTCTAAACACCAGAGTTGGAGTTTCTTGACATCACTGATAGCCGTTAAGACCTTAGTGTGACTGAGAAAGAGATGTTCATGTTTGTTCAATCATGCTTTAAATTATGTATACAATAGCTAAGAGTTAAAAGTTGATTAGTTTGAAACATAAGCAGTGTTTGCAATCCTTCCTTGGTTTTGGCATGGGGAGTTTGGTACAATGAACTAACTCTTAGACTTGGGTTGGCAGGTTGTGTGTGACATCTGTGTGACATTTCTCTGTGCTCCAAATGCATTCTAGCACATGACAATGAATGTGAGACATTAGCCTCCCAACACATGGGCAGTGGCAGCTCTGCTCTTTTCCAGTGTAACATTATCTCTGCCACCTGTTGCTTGGTCCTCCCCATGAACTCCTCCTATATGCATCGTTATTAATAGTTTGGGGAAGAGGCATTTTCAGGGCTTTGCACATTAGTAGATTGGTGCACTCGCATCTTAAAGCTTTCCAAAGTTGTGAGACTCTGGGTGAAAAAGAGAAGGAAAATAACAAACCAGAAATTGAGGACAGGCAATGCTTTGTCCAGAGCAGCCACCTTCAGAGGGGCATTGCTTGTGAGACCTTTCCTGCCAATGGTGAATACATGTAGTAATTTCTTTTTGGCCATAGGTGGGCTGAACCAGTCAAATCACTGAGTGTTTTATTTCCAGAAAGTGAATTATACTTTTGTGGATGGGGCTGAAGGGGTGGGCTGGAGACTGCTGTTCTGAACTTGGCTTCTCTCCTGTTCCAAGCAAATCCAGTCAAAACAGCAGCAGTGCAAGTTCCTCTCGGCACACTGCCCTGCCCACTTTATGCCTTTAATCCTGACCTGGCAGAAACTGCCTAGAGAGCAAGGAGATGGTAATTTGGTCTCCATGTCCATTCTGTCCTTGGCACTTCTTCTGAGACAGCAACCAAGACAGCAACTAGCAAGAGAGATTTTTATGATCTTTGCACATTATTTCTGAGTGGACCTGACAGCCCATTAATTTCACCTGCAGTCACCAGCACCACATCCTACCAGTTGCTGCCTTATGTAAGGGGATTCTGTTGATGGCATTTCTTTCACCAAATTTATTCTCCGCAGTGTTCAGCATTATAGAGATTATTTGCAGCAAAAAGCAGATTGAAAGACTGAATTGCTGAGCAAATCTGTCTGCTGGGTGTCGAAATAACACAGTCCTGGGGGCTGTGTTGCAGCTACCCATACTGTTGGCAAGTCATTCTGCTATCTTTGGCTAGCTCAGGAGCTCTCCCCCTCCCATTTGGAGGCCGAAGCTGCAGTGGCACAAGTTTTGGACTCTTCTTAAAGAATTTTTAAGCATATGCCTTTCTATTGACCACATGGGACCTGTGTGCAGTTTTGGAGAAGCTATGATTTCTCAGCATTTAATATCATTTGGACTCTTGTCCAGTCATTGCTTTTCAAAGCCTCAGATAAGCCAAAGACTGATTCTCAAAGGTCACATTTCCCTCTGCGAAGAGTTTCAGAAGAATTTTGATTCACAGCCTCCTCCTAGTGGGAATGAGGCATTTCTCCATTATCAGTTGTGAAACTCACTCCCACCAAAGATCAGACAAAAATCTTGGCTAAGTCTATGGTTAGGACAGTGCACAGTGCCAACTTTTCTATAAGCATTTCTTTCTTGGGGTTGCAGAAGTTGAGTGATAAGCTCGGCAGAGCTGTTTTCAGCAGAGCTGCTAAAAGACTCAAACCACCAATACGATTGAAAAAAAAGTAATACTAGCTTGTTGAGGGTTACTGTGACCTTCCCTGAACAAATTCCTTTCTTCAATCTAGAAATCTTGTCTTGCTTACCTCACTGGAAAGGAGGAAATCTCAGATATTTCCCCTGAAACAGGCAGATCAGCTCTGTTGCATGCAGTATGTAGATCTCTGAGATGTGCTAGATCACAGATACCCAAGTGGATTTAGTTTCAGTGTGATAGGAAGTCATCGAGCAAGCCGACCTTTCTCTGCTGGCCTTGCGTGTGCTTAGTTACAAGGTTTTCTTTAGAGAAAGAATCTCTGAAAGTGAAGAGTCCTTTCCCCAAAGCAGCAATGTGGTTTCTAGTCCTGATGGCCTAGGTGTTGTGAGGAGCTCATAGAAGTCTAGGCATGGAGGCTGTAGCATTTTTAGATGTTAAGAGAAAAGCAATAGCTCTTTTGACCATTACAGACCCCATGATGTGTCGTATGATTTTGTCCTGGTGCAATTCTGGGAAGATTTAACTACATCCATTAATGATTTGCCTCAGTGTCTGGTTGACATTTAGAAGTTAATTTGACCATAGCGGATAACAGTGTTTTTCCTCAATTTTCTCAGAATCGCTCGGTTGGAAAAGACCTCCGAGATCATCACGTCCAACAGACATGTTTCTGACATGTCTTCCTTCAGGAGGTTATCATCTCCATAGCAGAGAAAGCTAACATTTGAGTTCCACTCCTGAGCGGTTCTTTGGTCTCATATTCATGTACATCATTGCCATTTTCAGTCTACATGAATAAACCAGGTTCCAAATAATTCAAGAGCATATATGTGTGTGCTAAATTATCTCTGGCATGGAGGCAGTAACTTCCATGAGAGGGTGGGAACCATGCAGCTCCATTCTCCTGCAGACGTGAGCTGGAGCCCTCAGGTAGCTGCTGCTGTCATTCCCTGGAGCTGCTGAAATTCCATGTTTGTATGTTTGTGGGCCAAGATTTTCAGAGGGGAAAGAAGGAGGTGGGTGCACAGTTCTTGTTGACTGACAACCCTAAGACATGTCTGACAGTCCTAGCTCATAACATGAGATGTGCTTTAGAATAAAAGGTGCAGTGTAAACATCAAGGAGTTCCCACGTGACCCCACTGCTTCACTGCAACAGGGCTTCCAGGAACCACATCGTACATAATGTTAGCGAATGGCAATGACGACTTAATTCAACCATAATCATTTTGCCTACTGCCAAATAGTTTAATGATGATTAATTAGATGTTAACTAGCTGTGAAATTCTAGTCTAGTCTTCTGATGGGAGACTTGCCAAATTGTGGAGGCACCTAGAGTGGCTTCTTAGGGCTAGTGAAGCTTTTCTCATGAACTAACAACTTTCTGCTTTGCACTTATTTTTTAATTTGCCATTACACATTTAGGGGAATGCAATCATAAGTTTACTAGTGAGACCCTGAAAATGTTTATCTGGTTCTCCAGTGAGGGCCTCAGCTGTGTTTATGTAGCAGTGGTCCAACCAAGCTTCTGTAGCCTTGACCCTTTGTTCTTTTGACCAAGTGAAACAATATCTTTGGAAAAGCGGAATTGGGTCCATACATTGTGTTTATCACCCACATGGGAAATAGCTGAACAATATTGTGAAGGACTTGTAGTCTAATTCCTCTTTGGAGAAGGGAAGGAATTAATCTTTACTCAGACAGGTGGAGTATGGGTCAAATGAACAATACAGTTAGTTGCATTGACATGTAAATAAGTATTACAGTAACTCAATAAAAACCTAAACCAGAATAGAGTAGCATTGCCATTCTCAAATAAATGTACATTTCTGGTGCAAATGAAGTAGCTGCATAACTATAGTGGGGAAAAATAGATTTGATAGCAGAGACTTCAGCATGACCCTAATAATCCACTTGGCAACCTGAATTATGATTAAGTCTGTAATGCCTGTGCCTCATTCCTAGTAATCCATGTGCTACGAGGTTAAAGCTAGCCTGGATTTGCCTACATATGCTAGTCAAGTGCAGACAAACCATTGGAGCGTAACACCGCATTACAGTTGTTTAGGTGGTCATGACAGTGTAAAAGCTTCCAATCTTCCTCCAGCTGTTGTTTCCAAGTCTTGTGCAAAAGTTGTTGCTACCTCAGTGGTACAAATGTGAATTATGGAAAATGATTTTTAAAAAAGTTTTAAATCCAAATTGTTTTACTGACATATTGTAACATGTGTGCCCAAATCTGTTTTCAGCTCATTGAGGAGGCAAAAAAATACGGGGTCAAAAAGGGATAAGTTGTTAAGACAGGAACCTATTCTGGATATTCAGCTGGATAAATTGTTTTGTAAAGCTGTCTTCTGAGGGGAAGCAAACATGAGAATAAAATAACTGCCAGCTTTGTATAACTTATCTCCTGGTAAGCCAGGAGATAAATATATAGTTTAGTATATAGTATATAGCTTTTAAATATATAGTAAGCAGGAGATGACAAATTCAGGAAAACCAAAGGGATGAGTGCACATCTGGTGTAAACTGGTATGAATGTATTATGCATGTAGGGCCAAGCCGTATTCACAAGGGTTGTAGATCTGTCACTACTTCAGAGGGAGGGATTCTACTTTAAAGGGCGAGTCAGAGAAGAAGGTGAACCATTCTGACCAATGGACTTTCTTTCATCCATAATCTGTGGTGAAGATGGTACAACTGTTAAGGATTTTTGTAGAAGCTGTGGGAAACAGCACAGTCATTTTGAAGAGTGATTTGTGACCATGTATTTAAATATTGTGCTGTTGTGCTTTCCATGAAGAGCAGAGTGAAAGCTGTATGTCCATCCTTAATGCTGCCGATGTTGATGGGAACATTGGGGCATTCTGTCATCTTGCCTGGACTGAATCTATGTTCCACTAGAATTATCTGAATGCTACAACTGCTAGTCTAGGAGATATGCCAGAAGATGCATTGCCCACTGTGCTTCATGAAAAAAACCTATCCTAAATCTGTCTTCCTCTTGCTTCTGAGTTTGTACTATAAAAAAAATAATCATAGTAATTGGATTTTATTTGTTTGTTTGCTTGGATCGTCTGTGGCACCATTTATCTAACGCAAATGGTAGTTTTTCTCTAGGTGGAAATATGTGTGTACAATGGCACGGTGGCAGCAGTGCCCCAGTGTTGTACTAAGTGGAAAATGGAACTGAATTTTCTGAAATAAATGGGGAAATAGTTAATTTTATTTCCTTTACCATCACCTCCTTCACACATCTGAAGTGCGAAGTTAACATTTGTGTCAGAAGCATTTGTGTCAGTACGGGAGGAACAAGGAGGCACAAACTGCTCTGGGACAATGAGACTTCTCTCTCTTGGTGTCAGGACCAGCCTGGTATTATCAAACTACAACTCTGAGATACAGTTTCCCAAAAGGCTCAAGCCAGCATGAGTATGTGTTGCTATCAGAATAGGCTGTCTTTGCGCTCTTGACTTTTATGTGTGTTCTCATTTCTTCTAGCCCCTGCAGCTTTGCAGAGATCCAAGTGAGCTTTCTTGTCTGACTGAAAACTAAATCACCAAAAGACACGGGCCTGTTGGAGTGGGTCCAAAGGAGGGCCACAAAAAAGTTTAGAGGGCTGGAGCACCTCTCCTAAGAGGCTGAGAGAGTTGGGGTTGTTCAGCCTGGAGAAGAGAAGGCTCTGGGGAGACCTTATCCAGTACCTGAAGAGGGCCTACAAGAAAGCTAGGGAGGGACTTTTTACAAAGGCAGTGGTTTTAAACCGGAAGAGGGTAGATTTAGACTAGATATTAGGAAGAAATTCTTTACTGTGAGGATTGGAACAGGCTGCCCAGGGAAGTTGTGGATGCCCCCTCCCTGGAAGTGTTTACGGCCAGGTTGGACAGGGCTTTGGGCAATGTGGTCTGGTGGGAGGTGGGTTGCCCCACGGCAGTGGGGTTGAAACTAGGTGATCTTTAAGGTCCCTTCCAACCCAAGCCATTCTATGATTTTATGAAAACCACAACAATGGGATGGGATCAGCTCTCTCACCTGGCTAACCAGAGTCGTACAGTTGCTAATGGTGGCACAAAGGCAGCAGCAAGCTTGTGTGGCTACAGATGGCGAGAAGGCTGGACTGGCACTTTCTAGATTGACTTCAACCTCTTGTGAAATTGCTACTTGAGGGAAATAAACTAACAGTATTATCTCATGGCTGAGAAGACACAAGTATTTTGTATGACAAAGGAAAGGGGGATTTGTTGTTGAGGCAGTGCATTTCCAAGGCTAGCATTGGTTCTCCTAAGCACTGCTCTAGTTCTCAAATTAAAAACCTTCAGTGACATAAGCTAAGAAAAACACACTGGAATGGCTCCTAATGCAGTCATGTTCACACTATCCACTGAAACAGGAATGAACTTCCTTCAGCTTCCTGGGG